AAGCACCTTCCAATTTTGTCCTCAACAATATATGATTGTTTTTAGATAATTTATGGAAACCTGGTGCCTTGACTATTGCTGAGGTTTTCTTCATTGTGTTTTAATATGTGTGTTCGTATTTAATTATTTTGAAACCGTATGACCAGTTGATCATTCTTCTTCCATCATTTCTTCTTAGTTTTAATATCAAAGCATGTTTTAAAATGTTTGTATCTATTTTTTGTAAACCTTTGACTGGTTGTTTATTGTTCTTAGATTGGTTTTATCATAAAAGATAAATGACGATTTTGTATCGCAGTTCTGCAACCTATTTTAAATACCAACCTTTTAGAAAATTGATTGAGATAAAGCAATCTATTCAGTTTCTGTGAATATTGTCAATGTTTGTGTCAGGATGCTTATTCTAAAATAAATATCTGAAAATTATTTAGACTTTCCTGTGATTTCTTCCTCATATACCGGTACTACTGTCCTATCAATAGTGTGCTAAAAGATCAGTTGATGACATGATCTTTACTTGTATTTGTTGATAAACAAATTACAGTATGTAAGATGCCTATAAATTTAGCACACATACTTTTGTGCACTTGTATCTGGAGTGATTTGTTTACATAGTCAATTTTCAAACTTCCATTTTTTCAGTCTTTCTGACATGATTATAATTACCTTACGATTCTCATATGACCATTTCAAAAATTAAAATGTGATGAAAGAAAACAAAACAGGTACCAACTTATTCTTCTAGTGTCAAAACGAACAACTTGAGCAGTGCTCCGTTTTGATAAACACAATGACGTACATTTGTCAGCAGCCAGGAGGTATGACTTTGCTCCAACCGTGGCAAACAGGAAGGGCAACTTGTACGAAATAGATAAAAAATAAAACCGATATGAAAAGGAAATTGAAAAGCAGAAAACCGCTATGACTGTAAAACAAACATTCATGATCATTACTTTAATTTGTTGACAAAGAAGTTACAGTATGTAAGATGCCTGTAAATTTCACACACTTTTTTTTAAGCACTTGTATCTAGAGTGGTTTGTTCATGTCAGTTTACAAACTTCCATTCAATACAATGTTTCTGAAATGATTAAAGTTATCTTGAGATGAACATTTCAAAGCAAATAAAAAAATGTAACCAAACAAAACAAAACAGATACAAACTTAGTACCCTAGTGTCAAAAATAACAACTGAAGCAGCACTCTTTTTTGATTACATCATCATAATGATGTTCATTTTGAACGTATAACGTCTCTTTACACTAATACAAATCTGTCACTCATAGAAAAGTATTACTTAGATACGAGGTTGTACGAGGAAATAAAGACTTCAACCAGTAGAAAATTCACCTAAGCGCTTACATTTATAAGAGTCATCCAATCAGTGACTATGGAGTAGCATCCATTCATGTAGCACTTGGATGGCCTCTTCATTTGTATACTATCCTGGCGGAGCTCATTTACACATTTCTTGCAGTACAGTGCATGGCCACAAGGCTTCAGGACACATTTGCCAATGTAGACCCTGCAGTTCTTACACTCATCTTTTGCCAGATGAGCAACACCATCAAACCCTTTCAGTTCTTTCGGAATAGTAGCCAGAAAGGTGTCCTCTGGCTTCGCAGTGGTTGCCAACCCTGCTTTGGCTTCTTTCTTGGGACGCCCAAGACCCCCTGAAACAATAGGCAGGGGAGATGAGATGACGGACTGAATTCATACTCTAATTCAAAGTGGCGAAACAGCTAACTTACGTTTTCTCAGAGGTACCTGCTGCTGACGATGACTTCTTGGATGCAGCAACCTTGCGACCTGAAATAAAATAAAATGAAATCAATACTTGTCACACTACTACCTCCTTGCTGATTCAGAAAGAAGTTGGGAAAAGGAAAATACTAACTTTTTTGGGATGGCTCAAAGT